ACAAACAAATGCAAACCGTAGGGGGCTTGTGCACACAGAACTCATGCTTAAAAAGCATCATGTCAGAGCTGCTGATCACACATTCTAGAATAGACAATACTTAGTCCTGCCATAAGTACAGGGGACCGGACTAGATGACCTCTCGAGGTCCCTTCCAGTCCTATGATTCTATTCTATGATTCTAATTGTGGAAGAGCTTGGTGACCGAGTGGCCTGATGTGGTGAATCACTGGAGATTAACTACACAAATTGGGTATCATCCCACAAATAATATTTGGGTTCAATATGAAAACAGTAATTCATTGTCCTCAGCCAGTGCAACACTGGGAGGCAGCTTTCAGAGCAAGACCGCCTAAAATGCAATGCCACCCAGTGTCATTTTCCCACTACTATTTCCTCTACTTCACTGGATTTTACTCCTGAGTGGTTTTCTTTTACATAATAAAAGCTGGCTGCCTCTCAGAGTGAGATAGGGTGTGTGGTGGAGAGCGGTGGTTCTCAAACTTTTTTTTTCATGGACCACTTGAAAATTGCTGAGGGTCTCGGTGGACCACTTAATTATCTTTCCAAACATTGTTTGTACTGTTAGGTAGTTATTGTAAAGCATTTTGGATAAAAGCGCTATATATATAAAAAAATAATAATTAAAAAAAAATGTGTTCTACAAATAAAAGCACACAACTCATATTTTAATATCAGTCGTCTTACCTTTCTAATGCGATGGATGTGAGAAGGAGGAGGGGTCACTCTCCTGCCACAGCAGCCACAGAGCTGAGGCTGGGAAGGAGGGCTGTTTCTCCCCAGCAGCCGCAGCCCTGGAGCTGGGGAAAGTCACCTCTTTGGCCGCCGCAGCTCTGCATGTCCCAAATTCCCCCCACCCCCTCTTCTCACCCCACTGCCCCCTCCCACCTACCCCTTAATCCCCCCCAAGGCCACCACCTCACCTTACAGGTGCGTCTTCTGCAGGGTCCAGGCACCTAATTAGTGGAGCCACGCCTGCGTGGCTCCACTAATTAGGTGGGTAGTCCTTCATTCTCTTGTGTGCCACAGCCCAGGCTCATACCTTAGAGGGAACTATCCATGGACCACCTGAATGGAGCTCCCGGACCACCGGTGGTCCACAGACCACAGTTTGAGAACCTTTGGTGTAGAGTCCATAGCATGGGGGAAACACCTACAGGGCTTGGCTTTGCACTGTGCCCCGTGAAGAGCTGAGGGTAGAAGCACAAGGTGGAACGAGGTGAGCAGGATGGGGAATGTTGCAGTGTTCATCCTCTGACAGATGAGCACTCCACCACCTAGGAGAAGGCAGCCTAAGAGAAGGAGACCGTAGCAGCCCTTGTGCTACCTCTCACTCCGAAGTATCTGTTTGAAGAATTGCGTGTCGCGAGAGTAGAATAAACATGTTAATTTTACATAAATAAATAATATGCAAATATGTATGTAGAGAAATGTTTGATGGATTCATCGGGTTTTTTTTACAATATGTCATTCATACTTAGGCCTTTCCCTCCCATTAGCCTTAGGCCCCTCATAACCTTAATCTGGCCCTGCCTGTGCCCTCCAACGGCTCTGCCCACAGTCCAAACCAGCAGTATCATCTACTATTTTAATCCTCTCTCCCGTCTCAACTCCTCCTCTGCTGTAGGAACTGGGGATTTCCAGACGGCCGGGTAAGCCAGTTTTCCAGCTACTTAGTATCATTGGAGCTGGAGAACAGTGCTTAGATAACGCTAACATGGTCAAGAAGGAGAAGCAAAACTGTTTGATAGGCCGGGGACTAGCAGAACAGTTTCAACTATTGATGGACTAGCAGGTGGTGCTATCTGTTAGTACTGATGCATTGAACACAGCTATAGTCCATGGGGGAAGTTTGCAAAGTGGCCCATCCACTTTATGCCTGGCTAAAGAAACATTTCTACTTCCTACCTATCTAACTGCTTGCCAAGGACTTATTATGGTCGGAAAAATCAGTTCAGTTCTTGGCGTCCCATGGTTCTGATTCAGGGGGGAAACCCCTAACTGTGTGTGATTGTAACTCCTGGGGCATTTCAGCAACAGATGATTGAGACGTGGTTCAAAGAAAACAAAAGTTACCCGTTCAGAGTCCCTAGGCAAAGAAATCTTCATACATTACAGTTTCTGTTCAGAGAGCTCTGTATCTTTATTTGGATCTGTGTTTGTGTCACTGCAAAATTTGAATCTGAGTTCCGGTCTAAATTTCAGTCCCAATCCCAAAAGCACGCGTGTGTGCGCACACACACGCACATGCACATGCACACGCGCACACACACACACATTTTCTCTCTCTCTCTCTCTCCAATATACAATGAAACCTATTCAAAAGTATATGTATAGTATTTTCAAGTACATAAAAGATTGTTACAAGGAGGAAGGATAAAAATTGTTGTTCTTAACCTCTGAGGACAGGACAAGAAGCAGTGGGCTTAAATTGCAGCAAGGGTGGTTTAGGTTGAATATTAGGAAAAACTTCCTAATTGTCAGGGTGGTTAAGCACTGGAATAAATTGCTCAGGGAGGTGGTGGAATCTCCATCATTGGGGATATTTAAGAGCAGGTTAGACAAACACCTGTCAGGGATGGTCTAGATAATACTTAGTCCTGCCTTGAGTGCAGGGGACTGGACTAGATGACCTCTCGAGGTCTCTTCCAGTTCTGTGATTCTAAACAAGACACCATCCTTCCTGGAAACTATCTTGACCCTAAGAGAGTGACCCCTAGAATGTCTCAAGCATATTGTTTTCAGTTCTTCTTCTCTTTTTATCAGAAGAGCCACCTCCGTCTAGCACCTGTTATTTGTCAATTCCTCAAGCCTTCTCAAGGCAGATTTTACTGTTTATGGAAAATACACAAGATGTCATTAACAGACCAGAAGTCTGATTAAGCTATGACCCAAAGGCAGATTTCTTAGAAACAGACACCATTTCCTGAGTTACCTGATGCTCTTTTGGTTGTTTATGATAAGAAACAAAACCGTGGGAGGTCAGTTAACATTATAGATGATAGCCCGGACCAGTGGCTTATGGATGGAGAATTCATGTTGAGTTCTGGAAACACCATGAGTAGCTCTTGAAACAAAAATTAAGGGCCCAATCCTGCAGCTCTTCCATGAGTAATGTGAGTTGTCCCATGATAGCCAATAGGAGCTGTGGGGGGAGGGATAGCTCAGTGGTTTGAGTATTGGCCTGCTAAACCCAGGGTTGTGAGTTCAATCCTTGAGGGGGGCCACTTAGGGATCTGGGGCAAAATCAGTACTTGGTCCTGCTAGTGAAGGCAGGGGGCTGGACTCAATGACCTTTCAAGGTCCCTTCCAGTTCTAAGAGATAGGATATCTCCATTAATTTATTTAGCACTTTTAAAAATCAGGCCATTGCTTTAGGCTCCTAAATATGGATGTAATATGGAAAGGGAGGTGCTGACCTCACTTGGTTAGGTTTAAAAGCCAGTCACTAGTGAACTTGAATGCAAACAGGTAGCAGGTAACAGTGGAGATCAGCGTTTCTGTGGCAGTTTGGGTTGCCCCCCATTTGTTTTTTTCTAGGAATAGGGTCTAGGAAAGGAAGACGATGGCTACTGAGGCAGCACTAGACGTGACCTGAGGAGGTGAGAAGACAAAGAAGATGGTCGGATACAGAAGCTGCAGGATGTACAGCATCCTTGAGTGGGTATCTGCGGGAAGCTACTTGTGCATGAAATTCGCTTGACAGAGCTCATGGCAGAGAAGATCTAAGGCTTAGAGATGCCCCTGGAGATGATGGAATTCAGACAAGGATTTGAAGGTATAATGCAGTAGAGGAGAGAGCAGGTGACACAGAAAACTCGAGAATTGCGGACACCTGCTGAACAAAAGGACCCGGAGGGTGAAATGCCAGAAGAGGAGGGTGATCCATGGGAGAACATGACCATGAGAACAAGGCAGAGGAAAAGAACAGCTAGTGGTGGCCAAGTAACAGGTTTGCTGCACTGGGGTATGAGCAGGACAAGGAGGCAGACAATGGGGTGGTGAGGAAGGAAAGAAGGGAAGCCAGTCCCTGCAGAAGAGAGTAAGAGATGATAGAGATTTCCAGGGACCAGAGCCTAAGGAAAAATGAGGATGAAGTATAGAGAACTGCAAGACAGGACATAAAACAGATTCATACCAACACAAGGAAGAGACAGGTCTATGTTCATGGCAGATAAATTCAAACTGGAAGAGGTGCAGAGAAAAGCGACTAGGATGATCAGGGGGATGGAGGGCCTATCTTATGAGAGCTTGGCTTGTTTGGCCTAGCAAAAAGGAAGGCGATATGATTACTGTGACTCAAGGATGCTCTGGATGCCAATTGGCACAGGGCACGGGCACAGGGATCCCGTGGGTTCACCAAAAGGGACAGTGTAGTTTTCTCCTGAAAGCCTGTTTTGCACTGGTCATCCTAACCGTTGTGAGATGTATGGACAGAGAATAAGTGAGGAATTGTGTATACATACTAAGAATATGTTTGCTAGGTCTGTAGGTAAAAGCAAGCCAGTGAAAGGTAGCATGTCTTGAGACCGATTTCTCCAGACATGGGGCGGGAGACACTTACCTCCCTGGTGGATCACAGGGTATTGTGTGTCATACAATACAATCTATTAGCATGCTGAGTCAAATGCTGTTGAAGTGCTGGCAGAGACTTCAGAAGGAAATTAACAGGAAGAGGTAAGCAGTGGGGGTGGGAGGACCCTATTTGAAGGTGAACATCAAAGGTTTGTTCTGGTATATTTGGGGGAGCAGAAATACACCCTTGGCTCCTTCCATGAAGACAAGCTGCCGTCTGGCTTGATTTTGTGAAAAGGGGATCTCGATCCATCTGGTTGAAAACACTGGGAAAAGGATTCGGGATAAGCTATCTTGCAGGAGACAGGGGAATGCCTTGGTTTAAGTTTAGGCTCTAGGAAGTATGGTATGATTTTGTTTTCTGTGTAATCATTTATGTCCAATATTCTTACTCACGATCACTTGAATCTCTGTTTTTAATAATAAACATATTCTTGTTTTCTCTCTCTCTCTATATATATATATACATATCTAAGTGTGGTGGGTTCAATAAAGTGGGGCTCCTGATTTGACTTTTGCCAGCTTTGGGAATAGTGGATCTGAGAGTTCTGGGAGTCCTCAGTGGACCAGGGGTGCGTGCTCCAGAGGGCTGCTCGGAGGACTCAGGGGTTAGTGTGTGCTCATTGCTAACGCCCACAGAGGGAGCATGAGGCCAGTGGACACCTGGAAGGGAGTGCTTGTGTTGCCAGATGCTGGTGGTTTCAGGGAGCTGATTCACAGCAAGCACGGACCACTGCCTCATGCTAAGGGCAGGTGGTAGTGAGGTGCCTCAGAACCTGGGACCCCCGGGAAGGGACCCAATTACGCTCTTTAAATACGTCCAGGGGACGGGGGGAAAGGTAAACACCAGGGAGGGAGAAGAGCTATTTAAGCTAAAGGACAACGTTAGCATAAGAACAAATGGGGGTAAACAGGCCCTAAACCACTTCAGGCTGGGAATTAGAAGAGGGTTTCTACCCATCCAAGGAGGGAGGTCCTGGGACAGCCTCCTGTAGGAGCTGGGAAGCAAACAACTTAATTAGTTTTGAGAGAGAGTGTGATGGGGTTCCTTGTGAGGGTGGGGGGCAGGGCTGGGCAGCCCTTGGGGTCGCTTCTGATTTACATCTAAAAGCTCATGCACAGGGCTTCAGCCAGCCACCTGCAGGGGTCAGGAAGGGATTCCCTTCACTTCCCAATGCATCCCATTTTTTTTTAATCAATCTCCTTCCTTGGAAGCGTACGGGATGGCCACGGGCGGAGAGGGGCCATTGGATGGAGAGGGCCAGGCCTGTGATATGACACTGAGCAGTCTCTCTCTCAGATGCTTGGCTGGCTGGTTCTCGCTCACATGCCCAGGGTCTAGCTGATCGCCATATGTCGGGTCGGGAAGGAATTTGCCCCCAACTCAGATTGGCAGTGACGGGGGGCAGGGTGGGGGTCAGCTTCCTCAGCAGCAGGTGGGTGCAGGTCACTAGTCAGGATTATCTGGGTATATCACACTTGATTATTTCCCTGCTCCTTCATGGGCCTCAGGCACTGGTGCACCTCCATCCCTCCTAGTCTCTGCCTGTGGCACATACTGGTCTAGTCTCCTGTGGGCTGTGATACTTTGGTCTCATTCTGGGTGCTGGGTTTCGTGTGCGGGTGTTGGTGGCCCGTGCTATACGGGAGGTCATTGGGCGGTCCCATCTGGCCTTAAACTCTGTCACAGGAATGGTCCTTTCTGCACAAGGCTTGGATTTGGGCTGATGGGTTTTATTCATCCTATTTACACACTACCTTAGGTTATTTCTCTCTCCAAGCAGCAGCAGCCAATAAATAAAGTGATCAAACCAGGAAGGATTCCTCCCCAAGGAGTCTGATCAACCGGGATTATATCCAGGGGATTCCAACAGGCCATCGGGAACAGCAGCTAATCTGGGCACAAATGAATGAGTCCAGCTGGGGACCATACCCCACAGGGTAGGTTCAGATGGAGGACTCACAATTCAACCTTCTCAGTCTGGAGGGGTTTGGATTCAAGTTATTTCTGGTCCATCTCTAGTTTTGCCAGTGGTGGGCTCCTTCCTCCAACATCCTTAGCCATCAGTTTGGCCCCTACAGTCAGCGCTGTCACTGGGCCTTTTCCATAGGCTCCATAGTTCTAACGCTGCAGCGATTTCTTCGGCACCATGGGTGGTGGCTGGACAGTCACCGTGTCAAGGTTTTGCTCAGGCTGGAACAGATTGATGTCAGCAGATTAATGCACTAATAGAGCAACGCTGCTGGAAAGACTTTAAGCGCTTTTAAGATTTTAAGCATTCAGAAAAGGTGCAGCCTTTCTCAATCCAAGTTCTCAAGGGGCTCAGAGCTTTTCTACTTTTAAAATCTTGCAGCCCAGTTCACCATCACCCTTTTGTGAACCCCAAGTATGGTGCAGAGGCAATCAAATGTTCAGTATATGCCACGTGTCTCCCTTTGTGCATGATCCACAGAGCATATGACTCTACTAAAAGTGACTAGCTAGCGGTCTCTGCCCTTTAGGTCAAGCTGTAGTGGCTTATGCTTTCTGCAGTGGACGTGAGGTGTTCAAACCTCCAGGGTGATTGTATGTGATACACACTTACATTCTGATTAGGAAAAAGTACTGTGGTCCCCCATGATGAACCCTTTAGGTGGGAGGATGAGTTCCAAGGAAGCTGAATGGTCACCCTGAGTGCTAACTGGTTTTGAATCATGGAGGACCCTTATCGGGGGGGAGGGGGTGAGAGGGAGAAGTAGGAGGCGAATAAGCAGTTGTGCGTAAGGTTGGGAAAGTCCCAGGTTGGAAAAGCAGAAGCCACAACAGCCACAGAGCAAAGAAAGTGTACGGGGGTCATGTCTGACGAGGACCTTTTGTAGGTAGAAGAGGCATTTTTCATAATCTTCAGCGGTGCAGCAGGTGACCAGGATCGGTTCCGTCAGGCTTCCTGCCAAGAGAACAGTGAGGCATGTGGGAACGTTTTGGTGCAGGAATAGTCCACGCATCCTTCTTGGCCCATGTGTTATCAGCATACACTGGGAGAAGGCACAGGTATTCCAGCAGGCAAAGAGTTAACCCCCCCCCCCCCCACTCCTCTCCTCCCTACACCAGCTCAGATCTCTCACAGGTGTACAGGGTGGAGTAATGAGACAGGGCTGGAGCAGATGGGCCAATCAGGGAACACAGAAGACCATAAAAACCTGATAGCCAGCAGTAAGGGGAGTGCTCTGGCCTGGGTTGGGTGTAGCCTGAGCAGAGGGGTGTGGAGGCTGATTTTATGTAGCTAGTGTCTCTTGTGGTAGAGAAAAGGCAGGGCTCAGATAATGGCTGGGAAGAGGCTCCTTCAGTGAGGCTGCTGGACACAGGCAGCGCCTGTAGCCCCATTAGCTAACCACGGCCTGTCCAGCCTAGTGTCCTCACCTGGGGCCACCTTACCACAGGCCTGGACTAAACAGTTACGGGAGGGACAGCTGATTCCATTGCAATGCAAAAATCCTCATGGCACAATCAATTCTCACCACCCTCACCACGCTCATCAATCCCTGGCATACCGGTGATTTCAAATTCCAGCCGCCCCAGCACAGCAGATTTCTCCTTTGCCTGGATCCCAGCTAGAGGGAGTTTTCCCTTCAAAGAGAAAAGGGAAGAGCAAATGCCTGCAGTGTACAGGCACAGGGTAGCACCCCTCTAATAGTGCGCATGGTGTGCTACGTTATAGACGCTGCTAGCATCCAGTAAGAGCGGCAGGATGTATGTGTCTATTTAGCAAATACAGATATTTAGGACCCAGCTCTGTCCCTGTGGTTCCTTCGTGTTATTTTTGTTGCTGCATCTTTTGCTCTGGATGCAATGTTCTTATAAATGCAGTTCCTTGGAAAGGAACTGCTCTGTTTCTGCAATGCTGTTGTAGTGGTGTCGGTCCCAGGATATTAGGGAGACAAGGTGGGTGAGAAGTTGGTCCAGTAAAAGATATTTGCTCACCCACCTTGTCATGCTCAGTTTCTGTTACTCAGCAGTACAGATGTCAGCCCATGTGGCGACTGCTTTGAAGTTTAGGAGCTGAGTTTTCAGAGCTATCCCCCAGGACCTTGAGCGTCCTGGGGGTTAGCTCTGAGCTAGGGCAGAAATGGAGATCAGAGGCCATTTGATACACCATCCCACTGATTTTTAAGGACTCTAACAGAGCCTTACTAGGAATTGCCAGAGAAAAGGTGGAGGAAATGAGAAGGGGTATGAAGTCACCAAGTGTGTCTCCTCAGACTAGTGCAGGATTGCCCGGGCTAGTATTAATTATCCCAAGCATGGTGGTTTCCACAGCTGGGAGAAGATTCCACCGCTCTCATTGTTAGGACACGTTTCCTGATATTCAGTTCAAGTTTTCCTTAGCTCAGCTTCATCCTATATCTCCTCGTTATTCCTCCCTGGGCCACCCTAATCAACCCCTCTCCCTTCCAACACCTGTAGGGTGGTTCTTGGATTCCCCCCTTAGCTCTCATTTAACCACGCGCTACAGGCTCAGTAACCTTTCTTCCCAAGTCAGTCCCCACACCTGCTTCATTATTTACCTCATACGCAATGCAGGTTCTCTCTCTGTCGACGGAGAGGAAAACCAGATCCTCTGGAAACAGCACCAGCAGCCGCTCTTTAAAGTCCTGCAGAGAGAGGTACATAGCAAAGTCACTAACTTGTACTTAATAGGGCAGTCTTAGCTTGACAGCAGAATGTGTAGTGATGTAAAATGGGTGTGGCGAGAGATCCTAAATCACAGGGTCACTTTCAAGCATTCAGTCATCGTCATCACACACCCCACAAGCAGGTATTTCCCC